AAAATCTCAGAGGTGGAGAATCTCAGGATGTGTCATTTAGCTCACCTGGCCTAGAACATCTTAGGAATGAAGAGACAGAAAAGGCCAGATTATGGCAGAGAGATGCCTGCTTTCCTCCCCTTCCTCTTCCGCCTTTTCCTTCTGTTGAGTCCTCTTGCCATAGACAGGCTGTGGTTGAAGGAGGTAGCCTGTGTAGCAGAAAATGCATGAGCATTTGAGACTGATCACAGCTGGAGCAAGAAGAGTTGCAGATTATTGATGGACAAGAGGGCATTTGAGCAGGGACAGGAAGGACAGATGAGGTGTCCGCCCTCAGAGATGAGAGCAAAAAGTATTCCAGGTGAAGAAGCCAGTGCAAGCAAAGAGACAGAAGCAGGAATTTAGCAGAGACATTTGGGGGACAGTGATGAATTTCCTCTTCCTGAAATGGAAGGTGAGGAGTGGCATGGGGTGTGGAGTGGGTATTAGGCAGGGATGGTAGACTTTTGGTACATGTCAAGCTAAGGCGCTCATATGTAGTCTGAAACACAAAAGGAGGCCTGGAAGGATTGGAGGCTGGGGAGTGATGTTGATGTCTCAGATAATAGTCTGCAGGATGGACGGAAGAGCGGTAAGGAGAGACTGGAGACAGATGCTAAATACAGAGCCGATCCAATGATTCATCTGAGATGAGATGGGCATAGGAACTAGGATGATGGCCATAGGAACATAGAGTTCTTTCTATCTTGGCATCAGGAATAGTGTAGTCTGGTTGTAAACAGGACACATTCCTGCCATTGTCACCATTGTCATTTTTGTTGTTGTTGCCTTCTTCTTCCCCGTCTCCCCCACTCATCCCCCCTTTCATTCTTCTTCCTCCTCCTTCTCCTCCACCCCTCCTCCTCCTCCCTCACTCCCACCTCCTTTCTCCTTCTTATTCTTCTCCTTCTTCTTTTTCTTACTCTCTTCATTGTCTTCTTTTCTCCTCTTCTATGATTATTTGCATCATAGTAACCCTTCCAGATTTACTTTTACAGTCATTTCCTCATGTGGTTGTTTTAGAATTTTGAACTTTTTCAACTCTATAAGAAGTTTAGAATTGGATTCTGCTGGGAGTAAGGGAAACCCAGAAGTAATGGTAAATTTCTTTCTCTCTCCAATTACATAAGCAGCCGCCCCCTGATTGTCAGACCCAGGCTCTTGCTGTCTTACTGCTCCGCCATCCTCAGTTCATAGCATCCACCTTGTGATTCGTGAAGGCTGCTCAAGTCTGAGTCATTAGATCTGTTTTTCAGGCAGGAGAGTGGCAGAAGGGACACTTCCTAAAATTTGCATGCTTCAGCTCCATTCACTTTGATTAACCAGATCTTAGTCACACTGCCATGTTTAGGAGCCAGAGACACCAGGAAATGAGGACTTTGTGCGGGGTCACCATTTGGAGTCTAGACTCCAGGAGTTTGTGATGGACAGGGAGGCCTGGTGTGCTGCGATTCATGGGGTTGCAGAGAGTCGGACATGACTGAGCAACTGAACTGACTGACTGAGCTGAGACCTGCTAGTATAGCCAAGAGAGAGCTGAAGGCACATTCTGAGGCCCATGCAAAGGAAATCGGCTGCATCTCTGGTAATGCCAAGCCCCAGCGCACATCCTCACACTGACCTAGGTGGTCTATTCTGGGTCATCAGGGGGACAGTACTGAGCGTGATCTCTGCCTTGCAGAGGCTGGTGTATTCACACACTGGAATCTCTGAGCTGTGAGGGATTGACTCTAGTCTTTTCTAATCTGTCCTAAACACACCATCTTCAGCTCCTACTGGCACACCTCCAGACTCAGGAGCTACATCTGAGGCTGCTTACTCAACGACGCACAGAGCTCCCTTCTTACATTAATAATATTTGCATCCTGGTAACTTTCACCCCGTGGCGCAGCGGTAAAGAATGCAGAATCTGCCTGCAGTGCAGGAGACGAGGTTTCAGTTCCTGGATCAGGAAGGTCCCCTAGAGAAGGAAATGACAACCCACTCCAATATTCATGCCTGGAAAATTCCATGGACAGAGGAGTCTGGGGAGCTACGGTCCATGGAGTTGCAAAGAGTCAGACACAACTTAGTGACTAAACAACAACAACAAATCCTTTCACCTGAGAGCACTGATTCGGCTAGGAGATAGGTCTTGCTTATTCCTCATGCTACAGAATAGCCCATTTGCTACATGAAGGCACTTTCATGTCTGTCTGTCCTCTCTTTTTCCAACCAGTCTCCAATTTTCTAGAGTGCGTGTGGCATATGGTGAAGCTGACATGCTTGGCCGTCTCTAGGCCTGGCTCTGATATTCTGATGCTTATTAGCTATGTGACCTGGAGCTATGTGACTTATGCTATTTGAGACTTCATTTCTCTATTTGTAATATAAGGCTCATGAGGTTATTGTGAGGTTTAAATGAGCTAATGAATGCAAAACAGAGAGCCTGACACCAAATATAGCAGTCAGTATCATTGCAAACATCTTGATGATTAATAATAATAAAGCATCTCTGGCTTTTTTCTCTTCTTCGGTGAGTTGTGATGAGATACTAGATAATAAAGAAGAAGAATCTCTTAGCAGATTTGGGGAAAATTTGCATAAAAATACCACCCACAGTTGTGACCTGGAGCCACAGCATTTGGTCCCCCGAGCTTTTTCCCTGGATTGCTATTCTGTCCATAGAAAACTGCTTCCTATGGTCACTGCTTTGCTCTCTCTATTTGCACAGTGCCTCCTGGGATGCTCCATCTGTTAGGATGGGCTTTGGCATTCCTTGGGTTGATTTGTTGTTGTTGTTGTTAGCAGAAGCAAATAGAACACAAATACACAAACATATTGGAGAACACAAAGGTTATCTACATTGTGGGGGAAACGGAGTTAGGAAGCCTGGCTTTGAATTCCCACCTCACCGCCAACTGGTTGGGGAACTGGGGATAAGTCACAGTGCCCCTCTGAGCCTCTGATTTTTGAGATCCTCATCAGTAACAGCCGCCTGGGATGGAAGAAAGGATGTGCCATGGCCTGGATTCCCCTGGAATCCCTTTCTCCCCACCTAGGGCTGGTCCAGGTGGAAGCAGCATCTGGGTGGAGGCTGGGAGCATGCCCAGGCAGCCCTGTGTGGTCTGTGAGCCAAGCCGAGCCCGCCTGCTACCAGGGTGTGATTGTTCTTGTGATTTGGCAACACTGGGCAAACGTGTCCCATCAGGGCTGAGCTAAAAATAGGTCCTGTGCCGTGGGGCCCAGGAAAATCAGCAGCCGGGCACATACAGGATTAGCCAACCAGGCAGCAGTAAACAGCCACCAGCGCCCCAGGGGCACAGTGGCCAAAGAGAGGAGGTCTGGCTCATTTTCCCACATGCATCCCCTTTCCCCACTCTCCCGAAACCACCCTCCCTCCCCCGCCCCACCATTAGAACCAGTACCTTCCTCTGCCTTTCTTTGGTCTTCTCTACCTCCGGTAAACTGATATTTGCAGAGGCACTGAAGGCATTGCGTGGTATAGTGGAAAGAGCTGGTGTTGAGGCATCAGTAACTTGGGCTCAAATCCCGACTCTGCAGTTTTCTGGCTGGTGGACCATGAGCACATGACCCTCAGTTGCCACGGTGATGTAATGGAGCTCATTATACCTATTTCTAGGGATTGTTATGGATATAAAATCAGCAAATGGCTAGAGCAGTGGTTCGAGAAATGTATCTTGCATCTGAGTCACATAGGCCAATGGGGAACCTGTTAAAACTGAGATCTCTGGGCTCTGGCCCCCAGTTTCTGATTCCATGGGTCTGGATAGTATTGATTTCTTGCACACTGCCAAGCGATGCTTATGCCGCTGATCTGGGGATCACCACTGGGCCAGGGGTTACGTGTGTAAGCTCTTGAGACAGACCTCAACGAGTTCAGCTCCTGGCCCTGCTATGTCTAGGAGAGTGTCCTGAGGCCATTCCTAAATCTTACCTGGAAAATAGGGGTGATAATCATTTTGACTTTATAGTGTTGATATGAGTATTAAGTGAATTAATTCGTTTAAAGCACTTAAAACCGAGTCTGGCAAACAGCAAGCGTGGAGTAAACATTAGCCTTTATTGGTATCATAGAGTCTACTCAGACTAGGAGTTTAATACATGTTCTTTTCTCTCTCTCCCTGCAGTGTTTGCTGGCTCTGCTCATAGCTGTGATCTGGCCTCACCTCCCTGGGTGACAGGCAGGGAGGATGTGGGGCACCAAGGAGCACAGATTGAATGTCACAGCGTAAAGATCACCCAAGAACCTGAAGCCCTCAGTCGGGAATGGGCTTACTCAAGAGGGGTACAGTTCTAAGGGGTAGAAGGAAAAGTAGACCCAGGTTTCCTGACTTTTAAGCCAAGACACATTCCAGGACATCCTGACGTGTCCCCAGAGGCAGTTCTGGCTACCCCCATATGTGTTTAGGAAACACCCAGCTCCCCGCCCCCAACTCCTATGCCATTGCTAGGCATTTGGTTTGTTTCTCTTTTGATCGCCTATGATTGAAGATGACATGGCTGTAAACATTTTACATCTGAGTATAAATGACGATTTTCTTCTAGATTTTTTTTCCTTTGGGCTAGTGTCCTTAGAGTGGAATTACTGATTCCAAAAGTACAGCCAGTGTTATAGCTAGAAGAAAGCTAGACATAGCAACTCTTCCAGAGAAGGAACTTCTCATTTCTCAGAAACTGTAAGATGGCTGAGGATGTTGGGGTTTTAAGTAAGTTAGGGCATTCTGGACTAAGATGGACTAAGTGGATGCCTAGCAACCACTGGTAATTTCCACAAGAAACGGTGTTTAAACAGTGCTTCACAAACATTAATGTGCATAGGACTTCCCTGAGGACCTTGTTAATATGCAGAATCTGATTCAGGAGATCTAGGGTGGGACCCAAGAGTCCACATTTCTAATAAGCTCCAGGTGACACTGATTCAGCTGATGGATGGACCACACTTCTGAGCAGCAAGAGGTGAAGTTCTCCTGCCTTTACTCATGCTCGTCCTCTGCCTAACTCATCATTCCCACCGTTTTCCAGACTCATTTCCAGAGACGCCTCCTGATTGGCCTCCCCAGGCTGGGTAAGGGACCCTCTACCTGTATGTGTCACAGCACTGCTTGTGCTGTGCTAAATTGTCTGTCCCTTTCTCTTCCTGAGGGCATGTACCTGATTCGCCACTGTAGTCTCAGCATCTAGGACAACGTCTTTCACAATATGAGCCTGATTATTTATGACTGGATAAGTGAGTGTGTAAATGAATGAATGGATAAATTAAGAAATGACTGTGAGAGGAATGGAGTAGGAAGTAATAGGTTAGGAGAAGCATGGTGAACAATCAGATTTGGCCCAAAGACCGTTACTGCCGATGTGGGGACTTCTGAACCACGTTCACTTATTGAAAGCTCAGAGTCAGTGACCCTCCTCTGATCCTTGACAACTTTTTCTACACTCCCAACAATGCTGACCCTGAACCAAGAATGAACTCAGATAAATGAGTAAGATCCAGGAAGCTTAGAGGTCCCGCACAGGGTGGCTCTAATAAATACCAGAAAACAAAAAGCAGGTGTTGGCAATCTTTCTCCTGCCCAAAGAGTTATTTACACAAGTTTCCAAAGCAATTCCCTTCATTGCTTTTACATGCCTATTACACGGTTCTCTGCAGGGAAAAGTCTGGAGTTGGTTAGCTCCGTGGATTAGAGAGTGATTCCTTCAAAGACAAGGGCAGTGGGAGCTCTTCCCCTCCTCTGCTGCATGGCTGCAGGCTGACTGCCCAGTCCCGGCCGGTGGTAGCTATGGTCCTGCCTGGTCCCAGTGATTAGAGAACGCGAATGGGTCAGTGCAAATCCATCCCTCCTACTCACTGTGAGAGGCAGCGCTGTGAAGAAGAATGAACTTGAGCTTTGACATCAGACAGCCCTAGGAAGGAAAAGTGGATACATCACTTACCAACTGTATAATCTTTTTTAAAAAAAGTTTTTAAAATTTTGAAATAATTTCAAACTTACAGAGAAGTTGCAAGAGTGGTACAGGGAAGTCTTTGCTCAGATCCAGCAATTTTTACATTGTGCCACGTTTTCTATCTTGCTCTTTTTCTCTCTTTTAATTTTTTGTTTTAATTCCTCTCTGGTTGAAGAGGACAAATATTCATCAGCCACAAAAAATTACATTGAGAGACAATGTTCTGAAACCAAAAAATCAAAGCAAAATGTTCAAAAATCACAAAAGTAAATAAAAGTAAAAGAACTATAAGTGAACATTGAAGTGCCACTGCTTGTAAGTTTTTAGCATTTATACTTCTAAAGTTATTGCAGCTTAAAACTGCACTAAGATTTTTAGGACACATTATGATATTATATAATAATATGAATTTATTTTTGGAGCCACTTGAGAATAAATTGCATGTATCATGCTGTGTAGATGACACCTCTTAGGACTTTCATGTGTACTACCGAAGGATAGTTTCTTAATATAACCTCAGTACAGTTTCTGGAACTTTAACTTTAATATATTAATTTTATATACAGTCTGTATTTCAATTTTTTCAATGTCTTTTATAGCAGCTTTTCCTCTCCAGTAACTGAAGTAATTACTGGTATATTTATTTCTATTTGTATACAAATTAAAAATTTTCCTTCTTGATTTAATTTTACTTTTTGAACATTGAAAACATTAACATGCTTTCTAAGACAAAACTCTACCAAAAGATGTGTTCTTCCTCCTCATTCCTGTTACCTCACTCCCTCAAGTCCTAGTGGATAAACAACTTGATTGCTCTGTTTTATTATTCCTTTATTTCTTTTTGCAAAAGTAAGCAGAAAGATATGTTTCTGTTTCCCCTATTTCTGCATCTTTCTTATGCAAAATATATACTTTTGCACTTTGCTTTTTCCCTGGAAGTCACTCCATATCCACCCACGGAGATGCACCCCATTCTTTTTCACCGTGCATGTTTGTGATAGGCTATCATGGCCATAAATTATATGATGTTTCTCTCAGCAAAAGGTGGAGTATCTTTCCTCTGCCCTTGAATTTGGGATGGCCTTGTCAATTGTTTGAGTGACAGCAGGTGGCATAAATGCTGATAAAATCTACTTTTGTGTCTTTCAGATATGTTTTATAGTTTTCTTGATATAATTTCTGATCATTTCTTGTCAAAATTCGTTTTTAAGATATCACTTCATCCTTCTGAATCTCAGATTGCTCATCCATGAAAAAAGGATTATTACAGCTTTCTTGAAGAGTTATTGTAAAAAGCAAATGAGGTAAATTGAAAATATGTGCTGTGTAAATCCTAGTTTCCTTACTCCTTCCCTTGAAGCTCAGGCTTTCTCTTGAGGAGCAGGGAGGGTAATAATTGATCACATGTGTCTTTCCAGCAAAGACATTGTCCAGGTCGGTCAATAAGTCAATCAATATTGCAGAGCTCACCATCTACCAGGGGCTTTGACAGTTGCTGGGGATATAACCGTGAGAAAAATCAAACTTGATTCCTGCTCTCAAAGAGCTTCTGGTTAATGAGCATTTCCCATTAATCCTATGAGATTTTCTAAAAATCAAAACGCAAACCCAATTAGTAAGCATGGTCTTGAAATCCAACAGATTCTAAAATTGCACCACATAGGGAAGTAGAGGCTTTTTAGTTTTAGAATTCAGATCCCAGTTTGAGTCATCCTGCAAACAGATATTACCTAAAATAAAAGAGAGAGCTAGAAGGAACACGTGGAGGAGGAAGCTGGGGGACAGTGGGTCATGATTGAACCAGGATAGCACAATTAATGAGTGGCTGAGCTGAGACTGGAGACTGAGCTGAGACTTGGTATCCAGGCTCCCAGGCTGGGGTATTTTCCAGCACACACCCACTGCCATTCTATTTTCCATCTTCATCTCTTGTCACTGCCACGTAGGTGTCAGGTTTTCAGCTGTCCGCACTGGTCTGGTCGTCTAGGGAACGTTGGCCAGGAATGAACAGCACATTTCTAAGAAAGACCTGCTATCACTAGAGTCACTGTGTCATGAGGCTGCAACTTACTCCACCAAGAAGGCAATTTAGCAAATCTATACCGATACAGAGAATTGGAAAGTGGGTCAAGTGGGATAAAATCAGAATCATAGCATAGTGTTGTTTGGCATCAAACACCCAGTACTTTATTGTCTGTGCAACCTTTACCAGACTGTTGAATTTCCCTGAGCTTTATCTTTTAGATAAAGTTTAGATAAAGTTTAGAATGAGCATGTACCTCGTGAGGTCTGTTGAAGAGGCTAATTGTTTTTAGTTCGTTTTTCTCCACCCTCTATTGTAATAGAACCCCCAGTTCTTCGCTGAGCAAATGACTCTCTGGACCCAAGACCACACTTCCCCTGTTTTCATTCTAGCAAGGCACAGCCATAGGAGTAAACTCTGCCTAGCAGAATGCCAGCAGAAATGGCATGTCCAGTTTCCGAGAAATTTCCCTGAAGGGTAAAAGTATGATTTCCTTCTACTATTTTCATGCCTTTGGTTGAGATACAGTGGTGAAAACTTAAGCTAGAGGAGCTATTGGGAACCCAGAGGAAACCATGGGAATGAAGGTCACACCTAGTGAAGCATAGGCTAGGAGTCTGGGCCAGTATGAGCCCCAACCAATTCTGAATAGCTTACTGATGTGTTGACCTAAGATTTTTTTCTCTTTTTAATCCACTGCTGTTTTGAGGACTAGTAGTCCCCAAAGTCCCCATGAGAAGAAGTCCTATCAATATTAACTCTTTGCCATAATGAGTTGTTGTTGTTTAGTTGCTAAGTCATGTCTGACTCCTTGTGATCCCATGGACTGTAGCCCACAGGCTCCTCTGTTCATAGCATTTCCTAGACAAGAATACTGGAGCAGGTTGCCATTTCCTGCTCCAGGGGATCTTCCCAACCTGGGGATCAAACCCATGTCTCCTGCATGGGCAGGCAGATTCTTTATTGCAGAGCCACAAGGGAAGCCTGCCATATGAGTAGCTGTTGTTTTTGCCCGGCTGGCTTCTATTTTTCCCACTTTTAATGATCACACCCCAGTTTTCTTTGAGGAATGACCTCTCCCCAGCCTTAGTAGAATTATTAAATAAGTTGCATCACCTTTCCCAAAGCTAGACTTTGAATGAAATTTGAATCTTGGGCATCGTAACCCTAGCACCAAGAATGTCAGGAGTGGATAAGTCCTGGAAGTGGGTGGTGAGAAAGCCTCTTCCTCACTAAAGAGTAACATTTAAGAAATGTAACAGAAAAGCTAAACAAAGAAAAATCACCATTTTTCAACGATGATAATACTGGATTCAAATGAGAATCATCCTGGAATGATGGTTAAATGGTTAAAACCACTTGCTGAAAAAATGGGGAACAAGGTATTCACAGTCTGAAAGTACCACTCTGCTACTGCTGCGAAGTCACTTCAGTCATGTCCGACTCTGTGCGACCCCATCCCTGGGATCCTCCAGGCAAAAACACTAGAGTGGGTGAAAGTACCACTCAGTAGGTTACTAATCCGCTACAAAGCTCTTTTCACGGTGGAGAGGTTAGGAGAGACCACTAACCAGATGATCAAAGAAAGTGTCACCAGTGATAGGACATCCTATGGCCCCTGATATGAGACACCTAGAAGGATTCAGTATTCATGACAAAACTGATCAACCTGAATCTAATTAAGAAGAAATAATCAGACAAATCCAAACAAACATTTTACCTGACTGGCCTATGCTCTTCAGATTTTTCACTAGCATGAAAGCCTTAAAAAAACTCCAAAATAAAAAAACCACTTGGAAATTATTCTAGATAAAAGAGATTCTAACAGAACATGATGGTTAAAATGTGTGATCCTTGATTGGATCCTAGATATGACTGTATATTATATTGTTATTATGACTTTACATTATACAATGGTATCATATCATATAAGTTACCTGAGTGTGAAAATTGTGGTTGTATAGGAGAATATTCCCATTTCCTTCTTCTTAGGAGATCTATGCTAAAGTAATTGAGTCAAACTATCTGGGAAATCCCATGGACAGAGGAGGCAGGCTACAGTCCATGGGGTCACAGAAGAGTCGGACATGACTGAGCAA